TTAATTTTTATCCTAAGGTGAATTTGAATTCAACTGTTCCTTTTCCTATCACTTTAGCAGGAACATGACTTCCTATAAGGATGTTTTCTGGTCTTTTACATTCTTCATAAGTCTTAAACTACTTTTTGTTGTTGCAAACATGAATTGTTGCACCAGAATCTAGCCACCAGTCAGACGACTTATTTGCAGTAACCATATGAACTTCAGTGATCATTCCAATTTTCATGTTAGTCACCATTGCAACAAGTTCATTAATTTCTTGCTCAACCAGATTTGCCTTACTTTCAAAACTAGAACCAATTTTAATTCCAGCATTTTTAAATCTGCAATCTTTAATCAAATGTCATTTCTTTCCACAATGGAAACACATTTTATTCTTGTTAAATTTAGATTTCTTAAATCCATTCTTCTTGACTTTAAAATTATTTTAAAATTTACCAAAAGACTTGTGAGCTTTTCCAAAATTTTGTCCACTCACATAATTCACATTAGAACCTCCAAGGAAGAGTGCATTTCTTCCACGATTCTCTACTTCAATCTGTATGTGTGTCTGAAATTCTTCAATAGTGAAAGTATCTGTTAAATGCGAAACTTTCTTCCTACATCCATTCCAAGAAGGAAAAAGTTTTAACAAAATAGTTCTCACTTGAAGTGAATCAGGAACCTTAATTTTTGGCTCACTTAACTTAGAAACCAGAATTTGTAACTCCTGCACTTGGTCCATGATTGGTTTATCATCAGTTATTAAAAATTCTAAGTATTTCAAAGCCAAAAACTTATCTGTACCTTTCTTGTAGTTCATGTATTTGTGTTCAAAAGCAGTCTATATCTCTTGTGGTATTTTCATATTTCTATATAGGTCATATAGACGGTCAGATAATGAATTCAAAATATAACATCGACAGACTAATTCATCTTCTTCACATTTGCTTCTTGTTGCCTTAATAACATCAGAATCTTCGGGAGTTGGTTTTGGAATTGGTTTCAAATTTGGATCAAGTACATAAAATATCTTCTATGCTGTCAAAAGAAAAACCATTTTATCCTTCCACCTAGTATAGTTTGATCCATTAAAACGATCAAGTCTAATTACATCTTGATTTTGAAAATGAACCTTCATGCTTGATTCCAAATCCATAGTAACAGTGGGGACAATAGTAGATGTAGTAACCATAATTGCCTTTAAATTGTTAGTAAATCTAAGGAAAAACAAAAATAGTAAGTAAGAAGAAAATATGGCTTCGAGGCATGAATAACATTGTCTTAAAGGCAATTATGCCTATATGATACAACAAAGCCTTAAAACTCTCTCAATCAGAAGTAAGTCAAATTGGTCAAGCAGAAAGATCTATTTGTAATAAATGAACAGTCATCAATCAAGCCAATTCAAAAAGTCATGACATTTTGTATAGTCATGTTTTATTGTTTAAATAAACTTTATTTAAACAGTCATGTTTTTCACTGTTCAAATATATTTATTTAGAATTAGTAATATTGTAAAATAAATAATAATAATAATAATAATAAATGATTTAAAAATTAAATCTACTTGCCAAACAAGCCCAAGTGCCCATCTTTGACTTTTAAAATTGTCTGACCCACTAGAAAAACTCCTAGCAAGTCCAAATGACTTGTCCTACTCCAACACTTAGCTCAATTACTTAAATAACATAAGTAATTTCTTTTAAACCATATATAAGTGATCTTTCTACTCAATGTGGAATAAACCACATTCTAAACTACCAACAATCCCCCACTAGTTTGGAATGTCAGTGTTTAATCTTTAACCATTCACACAAATAAATATTATGAATAAAAAAAGGTATCTTTCGATTTAAACATTTAATTAGTGTATATACCTTAGAATTCTAACAAAGTTGATAGTGTCCATAGATTAAACCTCAACTCCTAGTGTTAAAATTGAAGATATAACGCACATAATACTTATTTAATATTCTGCCATAGGTTTATAATCACTTTAGCACTATTATGGCCATGTACTTATCCTTATTCATAAACATTTATAAGAAAGTTTCCAATTTTCTTGTTAAAGCAGCACCACTTTTATGTTTTTATAGGTGGAGTTTCTTATTCATGTCTCCATTACTATAGACAATTAATTATAAACTCCATTAAGAGTTCAATCTCATCCTCCATTAACGCAATGGCTTACACTAGTATTCTAAATATTTAGAATGGGTTGACTAGTGTTTACAGACACATAACACTAACTTGTTGTTACCTATTAAACTCCACAATTAGAGGTTACTAATTCAAAACTAGGTTCCCATTATTGTTGTCTAAAAGGAATTTTAAACCTATTCCACTTGTGGTGCTTCTTACGAACTTTCTCGGTAGTGCCTTGGTAAGAGAATCTGCTAAGTTGTTAGCAGATTTAATATATATGATGGTAATTATCTCATTTTTTTTATCAATTCTCTGATATAATCATGCCTTAGACTAATATGTCTAGATTTTCCATTATAAATTTCACTATAAGCTCTAGACATAGTAGCTTCACTATCACAGTACAAGGAAATGGCTGTCATTGGTTGTGGCTACAACTCTATATCCATTAATAAATTTTTTAGCCATTCAACTTCCTTGCCTATTGCAGATAAAGCTATAAAATCAGATTCCATTGTTGAATGTGAAATGCAAGTTTGTATCTTTAATGCCAACTAATTGCACCACCTTCAAGGGTAAACATCCACCCTGAAGTGGATTTATTGTCATTATACTAGTGATCCAACTTGCATCTGAATATCCTTCCAAAATAGTTGGATCTTTAGAATAAAATAAGCCAAAATCTTTACTTCTTTTAAGATAACCTAGAACTATTTCTATGGTTTTCCAATGACTTAAACTAGGCTTACTTGTATATCTCGATAACTTGCAAATAGAAAAAGCTATATATGGCCTAGTACAATGCATAGCATACATAATACTTTCAATGGCACTAGCATATTCAAGTTCTGCAATTATATAACCTTGATTTTCTGTTAATTTTATACTTGTATCATATGAAGTATTGGTTTCTTTTATATTGAGACACTTAAACTTATTAAGTAGTTTCTCAATATAATAACTTCAATTAAGAATGAAACCCATATTTTATCTCTTAACTTTAATTCCCAAAATGGTATCAACTTCATTTGAATCTTTCATTTTGAAATTAGAAATCAGATACCTTTTGGTTTCATTTATGCCAATCATATTAGTACTAAAAATTAGCATATCATCCACATAGAGACATATTATAACTCCACATTCGTTAGTAAATTTTGAGTAAATGCACTTATCTGCTCCATTATGTTTCAAAACCATTGGCTACTATGATTGAATCAAACTTTTCATGACATTGTTTAGGAGCTTGCTTTAGCCCATAAAGTGACTTAATTAATTTACAAACTTTATTCTCATTACCTGGAAGAATAAAACCTTCTAGTTGTTCCATGTATACTTCTTCTTTTAAGTCACCATTTAAAAAGGTTGTCTTAACATCCATTTGATGCACATGTAGTTTATAAATGAAAGCCAAAGCTATAAGAACTCTAATGGATGTTCTTCTAGCTACTGGAGCATATGTATCAAAATAATCTATGCCTTCTTTCTATTTAAAACCTTTTACAACTATTCTTGCTTTAAAGGTTTGTATAGAACCATCTATATTATTTTTCTTTCTAAACACCCATTTACATCAAACAGGTTTAGAACCTGAAGGTAAATCTACCAAGACCCATGTATTATTGGACATGATTGTGTCCATTTCATCATTAAGAGCTTCTTTCCAAAAAGCAACATCTCTTAAAGTCATAGCTTCATTAAATGTTTTAGGGTCTTTATCTACATTTAGTAGAATTGGTGTTTTCTTAAGCACTTTGGTTCTATTTCCTTCTACTAGGAATATTATAGAATCTGGAGAAACAAAATTAGAAGGTAAAAGATTCTCTTTTCTAGTTCTTTTGCTTCTTCTAATTTCAATAGAATCATTTCTTTCCTTTCTTTTATTTTCAGTCATATGACTCATTTCAATTTCTTTCCCCATATCAATTTCAGTATCACATATAAACTTATGTTCAAAAAAGTCTACATGAATAGATTCGATAATAACATTAGTATTTAAATCAAGAAGTCTATATGCTTTTGAATTCTGTGCATAACCAACAAAAATACATTTAATACTTCTAGGTCCTAATTTTGATTTATGAGGATAAGGTATTTTATAAAAAGCAATGCACCCCTACACTTTAAAATAATCCAAATTTGGTTTTCTGCCATGATTCCAAAGTTTATATGGTGTCTTTAAGAATTTCTTTGAAAGAATTTTGTTATGTATGTGGCATGCTGTTAAAAGTGCTTCTACTAAAAGATTTAATGGTAATTTAGCATTTAACAACATATTATTTACCATATCAACCAAGGCTCTATTTTCCCTTTCAGCTAAACCATTTTGTTGAGGTGCATAAGGGGCTGTCTTTTGATGAATAATTCCATTATCTTCACAAAAAAAAAAATGAATCTGGAAAATATTCACCACCCCTATCAACTCGAAAAATTTTGATTTTCTTCTCCTTTTGATTTTCAACAACTAATTTATATTCTTTGAATTTATCAAAAGCTTCATATTTTGTTCTCATTAGATACACAAAAGTATAACGAGAACTATCATCTATAAATGTTATAAAATACCTTTTTCCTCCCCTTGTTAATAAACCATTTAACTCACAAATATCAGATTGTACGAGTTCTAATAATTCTTTATTTCTTTTAGCTTTTCAAAAAGGTTTTTTAGTCATTTTTGCTTTGACACAGATTTCACATTTAATGTCATGATTTTTCTGGTATGTTATATAGCAATGCTTAGTCATATGATTCATATATTGATAATTTAAATGTCCTAATCTAGCATGCCATAAAGAAGAAGAATGCTCAACAATATAAGCAGAAACATTATTTATTTCGTCAATACTTAGTTTAAACATACCATCATTGGAATATCATTTTCCAATGAATACACCATTTTTGGAGACTATAACTTTATCAGACTCTCGTACAATCTTAACGCCTTTCTTACATAATAAATTTGTAGATACAAGGTTCTTTCTAATCTCAGGAACATGAAAAACATTAAGTAAAGTTAGTTTCTGTCCTAAGGTGAATTTCAATTCAACCGTTCCTTTTCCTATCACTTTAACAGGAACATGATTTCCCATAAGGATGTTTCTTAGTCTTTTGCATTCTTCACAAGTCTTGAACTGCTTTTTGTTGTTGCAAACATGAATTGTTGCACTATAATCTAGCCACCAATCAGATGACTTATTTGCAGTAACCATATAAACTTCGATGATCATTCCAATTTGCATGTCAATCACTATTGCAATAAGTTCATTAATTTCTTGCTCAACCAGATTTGTCTTATTTTCAGAACTAGAACCAATTTTAATTCCAGCATTTTTAAATTTGCAATCTTTAATCAAATGTCCTTTCTTTCCACAATGAAAACACATTTTATTCTTGTTAAATTTGGATTTCTTAAATCCATTCTTCTTGACTTTAAAATTGTTTTGAAATTTACCAAAAGACTCGTGAGTTTTTCCAAAATTTTGTCCACTCACATAATTCACATTGTAACCTCTAAGGAAGAGTGCATCTCTTGCATGATTTTCTGCTTCAATCTGTATGTGAGTCTGAAATTCTTCAATAGTGAAAGTATCTGTTGAATGCATAACTTTTTTCCTATATCCATTCCAAGAATGAGGAAGTTTTGATAAAATAGCTCCAACTTGAAGTGAATCAGGAACCTTAATTTCTAGCTCACTTAACTTAGAAACCAGAATTTGCAACTCGTGCACTTGGTCCATGATTGGTTTATCATCAGTTATTGAAAATTCAAAGTATTTCAAAGCCAAAAACTTATCCATACCTTTCTTTTCGTTCATGTATTTGTGTTCAAGAGCAGTCCATATCTCTTTTGGTGTTTTCATATTTCTGTATAGGTCATATAGACGGTTAGATAATGAATTCAAAATATAACCTCGACAGACTAATTCATCTTCTTCACTTTTGCTTCTTATTGCCTCAATAGCATCAGAATCTTCAAGAGTTGGTTTTGGAATTGGTTCCAAATTTGGATCAAGTACATAAAACATCTTCAATGCTGTCAATAGAAAAACCATTTTGTCTATCCACCTAATGTAGTTTGATCCATTAAAATGATCAAGTTTGATTACATCTTGATTTTGAAAATGAACCTTCATGCTTGATTCCAAATCCATAACACCAGCAGGGACAATGGTTGATGTAGTATCAATAATTGCCTTTAAATTGTTAGTAAATTTAAGAAAAAATAGAAATAGTAAATTTAAGAAAAAATAGAAATAGTAAGAAAAAAGAAAATATGGCTTTGAGGCGTGAATAACGCTATCTTAAAGGCAATTATGCCTAAATACAAAAAAGCTTTAAAACTTTCTAGATCAGAAGTAAGTGAAATTGGTCAGGCAAAATGATCTATTTATAATAAATGAACGGTCTTCAATCAAGCCAATTTCAAAAGTCATGACATTTTGTATAGTCATGTTTTATTGTTTAAATAAACTTTATTTAAACAGTCATGTTTTTTACTATTCAAACATATTTATTCAGAATCAATAATATTTCAAAATAAATAATAATAATAATAAATAGATTTAAAAATTAAATCTACTTACCAAACAAGCCCAAGTGCCCTTCTTTGACTTTTAAAATTGTCTAACCAACTAGAAAAACTCTTAACAAGCCCAAATGACTTGGCCCACTCCAACACTTAAATAAATTACTTAAATAATATAAGTAATTTCTTTTAAACCATATATAAGTGATCTTTCTACTCAATGTGGGATACACCGTATTCGAAACTACCAACAGATTGTGTATATCCTTTTGTTTTCTCATTTCTACCTTATTTTTCTTAGTTTGATTTTTCGTTGATGATTTGATTTGATCAATCTAATTTCTAAAACTGATTGATTACTATGATCGACTTTCGCTCCAGTCAAAGTGATTTGGATATTTAAGGTCTAAATCATAGCATTAGCAAGTCATGAAATATATTAAATGGGAATGACCACTCCAAGGGTAAAAACTAGAAGTAAGAATAGATGGAAGATGAGATTCCGGTACCCGTATGGGTTCAGTTTTTACTGTTTTTCTTGTCAGTATTTCTACTGAAAAAGAAGATAGGGGCAAGGAGGCCCAGCGATAAACTCCCTCCAGGGCCTCCAAAGCTTCCAATCGTGGGCAACTTACATCAAATTGGTGTATTGCCGCACCGATCTTTGCAGCAATTGTCCATGAAATATGGCCCTGTCATGCTTCTTGAGCTTGGCAGAGTACCTACAATCATTATCTGCTCCGCTGAAACAGCTAGAGAAGTTTTGCAAACCAATGATCTTGAGTGTTGCAGTCGACCTCTTTTAGCTGGCACCGGAAGACTTTCATACAATTATCTTGATTTAGCTTTCACTCCTACGGAAACTACAGGAGAGATATGAGAAAAATCTGTGTTCATGAACTATTTAGTGTGAAAAGGGTCCAATCATTTCGGTTCATAAGAGAAGAGGGAGTTGCTCTGATGATAGATTCAATCTCTCAATTGTCTTCTCCTGGAAATCCTGTTAACCTTTCTCAGAAATTGATGTCTCTTAGTGCTGAAATAACTTGTAGGGGTGCTTTTGGTAGTACTTTTCGAGATGGGGGATTCAATATTCAGAAATTTCAGGAACTAGTTCATGAAGCTTTGGGCATTTTGGGAAGTTTTTTCGCATCTGATTTCTTTCCAACTGTTGGTTGGATCATAGACAGGATTACAGGTTCCCATGGAACGCTTGAAAGGATTTTCCATGATTTGGATCTTTTCTACCACAAGGTTATAGATGATCACATGCGTTCTCGGAGACAACAACAGAAGGATGAAGATATAATTGATGTTTTGCAGCAAATAAAGAAAAACCAAACCGATTCTTCTGCTCTTCAATTCACCCATGATCATATCAAAGCAGTTGTTATGGTAAGGCATTAATCTGTTCTCTATCTGTTTTTATCACTTTCTGAACCTAGAGTTAGGTTCATACATGTTTGATAATGCATTCTAAATTCTACATATGGTTAGGGGAATTATAATAGATTTATACCACTACTTCATGTTAATAAGCAAGTTTAACGGTTTTTTATATATGACAATTATTCATAAATTTCATAATCACATGATTATTAAGTTTATAAAAATGGTCAATTTGTAAATTTATATTTGATATCTTGTTTTGTATATTTATTTTAAAAGTTTGCTGAAATTTATGACTGTTTATTAATAAGGTGACATCATATAATTATCATTAAGGTATAAAATCTATACACTGATAATGTACCAAATATAAACTCTTATACAGTAAATCATATAATGTCATCTTATTAATAAGAAATTTTTCACTATAGAATGTGATAGTAATCAAATATAAACTATTTTACATAATTAAGTACTTGTTTAGTCCCACAGTTAGGTTTCATATGACTTTATTATTAATAAGAACAACATGATCTCAGAATATATTTTTGGCTGGAGTTGAGAGTGGTGCAGCTATAGTGGAGTGGGTTATGGCAGAGCTTACCAGGAACCCAAGAGTGATGAAGAAAGCACAAGAGGAAATAAGAAACTACGTCAGAAAGAAGGGAAATGTATCTGAATGTGAAATTGATCACCTTCCGTACCTCAAGTTGGTGGTCAAGGAAGCTTTGAGATTGCATCCTCCAGGGGCGATTCTAACAAGGGAATCCAGGTCCCAATTCAATATCAATGGTTACAATGTTTACCCTGAAACCCACATCTACGTGAATGTTTGGGCAATAGGAAGAGATCCCAAGAGCTGGGAAAACCCCCGAGCAATTCTACCCAGAAAGGTTCATTGATAGCTCCATTGATTTCAAAGGGCAGCATTTCGAGTTTCTACCATTTGGTGCAGGTCGAAGAGGCTGCCCCGGAATAAATATGGGAATGATAATTGTGGAACTCGCACTCGCCAATCTCTTATATCATTTCGATTGGGAATTGCCGGATGGCCTGAAAAAGGAAGATCTCAACATGGAAGAGGCTTCTGGTCTTACAAATTATAAGAAAGAACCTTTAGTACTTGTGCCTACCAAATATCAGCAAGCCTAATTTATCATCCTTTTTACGCATTTCTGGTACATATTCTGTTGTGATGAAAGACTATCCAATAAGTAGTAGATATATAAAATGGATGTAAGAAAATTTGCTCAGTTTGAAAGAATTATTCTCTCATTCAAAGTCATGAAGATGAAAAATCTAACCCCCCATTATTTATATATAAATACATATTCTTTAACATATATTAATTTTTTGAAAATAGTAAAAAATATTTGCAAGGCATTCGTATATACATCAATTGCAAGTATACCACTTGCAGTTATTTTGCTACAATTCACTTAATTACAATTCAGAATTGTATATGATTTATAAAAAAAATTTACGAAATTAACACTTATATATAATGAATTTTTACCTAATTTTTTGTATAATTGAATAATTACAAATCTATACAATAAATTAAAATTGTTCCCTAACTTTCAATTTAAAGTCAGGTAAGCTTTCATATTTAATACGATTTGTAGGTTAAAAATGTATTTATAACAATTAAATATCTGTAATTAATCTCTCCCCCGTTTATCTCATTTTAGTGTTTTCTCAACTTTGTGTTCTCTTTTGTTTTGGCGAAAAGACTTTCTTAGATGATTATTTTTTTTTATCATCTAATTGAGACGATAAAGATTTGATTTCTTGGCTTCTCTCTTTTCAGTGTTTTGCAGCTTTCGTTTCTCTCTTTTTTTTATCGGTTTTGGTGTCTTTCTTCGGTGAGTATTTATTTCTTTCTTTTTTCATCCAACATCAGATATTTGATTCTGTTTGTTTTTTACAATTTGATTTCACGCAGATAAAACACATGTATGGAGGTGTGTTCTAGGTTTGTATGTGTTTGATTTGTCTATTTGATTGTGTTTGATTTTTTTGTTTCATGTGGATGAAGGTGTGTTTTGATATAAATTTGGTTTGAGTTTGTTTTGTAAGTTATTTTTGTTTTTATGTATAAATTTCTTTGCATGTGTTTGAAAAAAATTAGCCTTTAGTCTTCACACTTGGTTGACTTTCTAGTTACTTTGTTCTTCTGTTCTTTCACCTTCTAGGCAGCAAAATCTTTCGTTTCCTTTTCTTTTTGCGTTGCATTATCTGTATACTCAATAATTTTTCCAATTATTATGTCCTTTGTTTCGTTCACCTTCCGGGTTATATGATTTGTATATTCATAATATTTGCCTGTTATTGAGTTTTTGGTTGTCTTTCCCTTTTGGACTACATAATTTGCATACTTAAAAGTTTTGTCTTTTACTGAGGATTGAGTCTTATTCTTTTTTTTTATTGGTAATAAAGGCCGGCTATTGAAGTTATTTGTTAATATCTTATTTGTGGAGACCCCGTATTCAACCTGCAATGTATTATTCGCTTTGACTCGAATGTTTCACGATTTTATCTCACAAAAGATACTTCATAGATTTGAGTTGAAATCTCTACATATATATCATATCATATCCATATGTTCTTCTAATATTGGATTAGAGGCATTACAATCTCTCTACTTTTAATGCTTGACGTTCCTGTCAAGTCAAATTTAACCACAAGACTAAAATCACACAAGACGTTAGGATTTTAGAGGTGACTCTTCACTGTGTAAGATCTAGTGACTCTCACAATATAGCATTTAGTTATCACTGACTGATAATCGCTCTGATATCATTTGTGGAGACCCACACTTAACCTACGAAATATTGTTCACTTTGATTTCGAAGGTTTCATAGTTTTATCTCACAAAAAGTATCTCACAAATTTGAATTTAGATCTCTATATATATATCATACCATACCCACATATTCTTCTAATATAAGATTGAGAATGTTACATTATTTCTCTTTAAATTGTTTAGGATTCTTGTCATTACTACTATCACAACATACAAGCATATAAACTTGATTGCTATACATGGGGCCATCATTGATTTTTCTTTATTTAAATATGATTAGTTACCTAACTAAATTTGTCTTATTTTAAAGAGATCCCAAGCTTAACTCAAGT